CATCAGGATCTGGGGGAACGCCTGTTCACCAGAGCGCCCCAAAGGATGACAAGGTCAAACAGTCAAAAACTCCTCCAAGACCGTTTCAGGCTGGACATAAGGAAAAACTTCTTTACTGCCAAGTCCCCACGACCTGGAACAGACTGTCTCCAGAGGTGGTTCAAGCACCTACTCTGGACTCTTTTAAGAAATATTTGGATGTCTATCTTGGTGGGATCCTTTGACCCTAGCTCACTTTCTGCCCCTGGGGCAAGGGGCTGGACTTCATGATCTTCCGAGGTCCCTTCCAGCCCTAATGTCTAAAAAATCTATGAAATCTATGACATGCATATTATTCAAGAGATCTGGAAATCTGGCATGGGGGGGGAATAGAGTAGTGGTAGCATTAATTGCCATGGCTCTAGAACCCAACACCTTCTCCGCTCTCCCCCCCCAACCATGCACAGGACTGCGACAGTGCATGAGGCTGGTCTGGGCCTGGACTTGGTGCCAGCCCTGCAGGGTCCGGCTGTCTGATAGCTGTGGAATTATGCCAATTTTTGCCCTGAAAGGGTTCCATGGGACAGCATATCCCAGTGATAGCATATGCCCCCCAGGGGCCACTAGATGGTCCCACTTCTGGGTTACATTGCTGGGTAATGCAATGAGCCTCTTTCTACAAATTAAAGACAGACACAAGATGATCCATGAACTCTTGCTCAAACCCTCACTGACTCCCTGGGCAGCTCCTATGTGCATTTGGCAATGCCCATGTAGTGCACATAATGGTGCACCTACAACAGGGAGTCAAGTCCCTGTTACAAAGAATAGAGAGAAAAGACTGGAAAATTGGCCTGGACCCTTTAAGATTAGGACTTCTAAGGCCATTGAGGGCCAGATGTGGGTGAGTAGGCCACATGACCAAAAAGGGAAAGGGGGTTGGAGAGCTAAAAGCCTACCCCAGGAGACAGTGGGGCAGTCTACCTGCAAGGAAGCCTGGCTCACACCTGCCAGAGGTATGGGGAGGCCTTGGTGAACACAGTAAGTAACCCCAGAAAGGGGAGTCTGTTGAGGATTTTTCTTTGTTCCTTGCTTTTGAATAGCAAACCCATGGGCAAAACCCTAAGCTAAGACAGTGTCCATTTACCCTGAGGAGTTTTAAGTTGAGTTTTTTTCTTTTTGTTTGACAGACACCCTATGTACCGAGAGCAGCTGCGAGGGGAGATGTGGAGGCCAAATAATGGGGTGTTCCAGCACCCTGCCCGATATCTGTCCCGTGGTGAAGGCTGGAGCCACAGGCAACATAATCCAAGAACAAGAAGGGCCAAAGACCTGCTGCAGTAGCTTAGAGCATTGGGCAGTGCAGCTGCAAAACTCAGGGTCCTAAGTTTGAGTTCCCTAGAGGAGCAGAAGCCCAGGAATAGCTCAGAACCAAAGACAGATACACTGAGAGAGAGGAACAGGGTTTGGAAGCCCCTAGGACTAAGACTTAGAGTGGCTGGTGCAAACAGTACAGGAAAGCCAGGAAGCCAATGTATTCTGAGAGTTCTGCCAGGTGGTAAGACCTTGCCCTAGGATTCCTCCCACCCTCTGCTTTAGGGAAGAGGCAAGACACCTTCCAAATAAACTCTTTTTTCCAACAAGGCATGGCAGCAGAGTGAGACTGGGAGGTTTCTGACTGGGTCAGGGATGGCAGCACTAACAGAGGAGGGACCCTCCACCTTGGTCCTGTCACACCACTGGAACTCCTTGATCCTGTCACTGACTATGGTCAAGCACTAGCACTCTTTCTTCCTCCCTCCATTGCCTGGCTTCCATAACCCAGAAGCACCTACACTGCACCATAGTGTATATGTCCATCTTTGTGTAGGCATGAGTCTTCCTTTGCTTGGAAGCTTTCTAGGTATCACTCTCTGACAATGTCTTGGGCCTGTTATCTGTTGTGAGGGCTCATTGCTGCCATTTGCAGGTATCCAGTCTGAAAGCAGGAGAGAATAGCATGAAAAACTCCACAAAAAAGTTCCAACTTGCAAGGCCATCCAACCAGTGGGCAGACTCATTTGCCCTGCAGACTCTCAACATGGTAAGTTCACTGTCTCCTGTGCTCCCTAGGGATCTGGGGAAGTGGGGAGCATGCTGGGGCAGCCATTGGGCAAAGAGCCAAAGGGTACAGCCAGGCCATGAAACACAGCAGACAGGGCCAGTTGATGTTGCTAGGGGCAGTCTGCTGTGATCTCTTGTGATGGGACCCCTTATGCCCTGTGTTTCGAATTACAGGATGCTAACACCCTTATGCATCTGACCCCACAGAAGAGAAAGCATCTGTTCTCTGCTACATGTCACAGGCCAGCAGTCTTTGCTTGCTGTAACAGATGATAGTTCTGATGACTTTGACTCCTGAAGACAGCAGGCATGCTACAATATTACCAGTGTGTTTGGCTCTTCCCTGGACTATCAGAGAACATGTACCTCACTACATGGTACAACCACCTTGCTTCGTGAGACTGACACAAGATAAGGGAAGATGACTGGTCTGTCCCCAAGTTAAAACTGTCTGGCAATAAATCAAAAAGGTTGCAGACTGTCAGCCCTGAACTGCAGTCTGAGAATGCAAACCAAGCAAGCATCCCTCTCCCCTGCCTGCTATTGCCTTGAGGGGATTGGCAGACCACACCTATGAAGTGACTGCAACTACACCCAGCTGTATGTTGCTTGCTCAAGGATTCTTTTTAGTATGGGTCCCAAAAGTGGGGTGGGGAGTCTGCTATGTCCCCCTCCCCTGGACCCCAACCCTGCATGGACTTAAGGTCCCCTGCCTTCCCTGTGACTTATCCTTTTCCACGGTGAAACAACCCTGAACTTCACAAACTGAGTTCACCATGATTATGGGCCGGAGAGATTGCTCCCCACCCCACTTTTGGGACCAGTAACAGCATTTGGAGGAGTCTTGGACAGTACAACTAGTCAGCATTTAGAGGGGTCTGGGATATTGCAGTCAATGCTGTGGCCCTGAACTGCCACAGTGGTCTGCTCTGATTGGTCACAGGGCAGATCTGATGAGTTAAAAGCAGCTTTATTTCTCATGTCTTCACTTGCTCCCAGAACATGGCTTCAGAGCCAGTACCCAGTCCCAGATTTGGCACACAGCCCTGGAGTCAGACCTAATGGTTGACTCCAGTGCTGATGTGCTGGATCAGGCCTCACCACATCCCCCCAAGGTCAGTGCACTGGGACAGGGCCAGCACACAGTCCTCAGCCCCTAGTCCTAGCATACAGGTCCCAGCAGGCCCGGCATGCTGGAAGAGTCCCCCTTCCCAACCATGTACCAAACTGGACTGCTGTGCAGGCGATGCACTGAGTGTATGTGGTACAGCCACGCAGGGTCTGAGGTGTGCTCACATTTGCAGAAGAGGAATGGGTTACATGAACATTTTGCAAACTACTGTTTCTTTTACAATGCATTTGTTTGCTGTTACATCTGTTTCCTTGTTTTCCCTCTTATTAAACAGAACAACAGAAATGTTGAAAAGTTCTACCTCTTGTCAGAATTGTGGCTGTAGTATTTAAAAAAAACTGGGCAGGGAGGAGCTGTTTATTGGCAACTGAAAGTGTTCCTTCTTCCCTATCCATCTCCCTCCCCCACTCCCTTGCACTGGGATCTGGCATGGGTTTTAGCTATAGAGGCCTTGAACAGTCATTATAACCATATTTGTGTTGTGTGTTCTACGTCAGTTAGGCAATGATTGACATAGCTTCCACAGCTTGTGTCAGGCAAACTTAGTGCAGCTATCTATAATAGTACCCTGGACATGTGGAATTTTGCATGACACTGCTTGCTGTCTCAGGTGGCCATGATGATCTGCTGTCACCAATCACTGCTCATCTCTCTGGCTCAGAAATACCATTCCAAGGTTTGGAGCCACTTCCATGTCTGCCCAGCCACAATGCAATGACTTGAGACCAAAAGATCTTCAGGACAGTGGCTGTTGTTGCAGACTAGGGTCCAGATGTAGCCATGGACATTCTGTTCTTTGGCAGTTGGTACACACATGAGGTTTTCCCCTGTAAATACTGCCCCATTGTTCTTGCTGCCAATAAAAGTAGTCATGGCTTCCATCAGGGCCACCGATGTGAACTGTTCTGCCCAGCCTCCCTCACAAGTTCATGACACTGGGCCAGTGAGGTCTGCAAGGCAATGTCCAAGCACGAATCCACAGCTGCCAAGGGCAGTGAAAGCTCTGAGTTATGGTCCACGATAGAAGGCAGCGCAAATGCCACAGAAGTCCAGGTAGGTAGTGAGAGGCCCAAGCTGTGCAGTGAAACGTACCTAAACCCTACCCACACAAATTTTGCCACCAACCCACAATTTGAACAAGCAGCAGGCACTTAACCCAGCACTGGCAGAATCAAGGGAACATACAGACACTTAATCAGCGATGAACACCAAGCATGCTGGCACATGTACTCGCTCAGGTCACCCGCTGGTGGAAGAGTGGCAATGCCTTCAGCTACTCTAAATCCTCTTTGAAAGTGATGTCTGGACATGCCAATCCCACGACTTCTCCACTGTGGGACCAGTCAAAACACCAAATGTGACATAAGTTGATAGGCTAAGTCAACTGACTCCTTTAGCTGCCTGAATAGTAGTACCACAGCTGCTGCACTGTGCAGGAGAAATAAAACTAGGGTGCTTCTTTCCTAGGCAGAAAATCAGCTTCTCTACTTAATACATTTTAAAGACCCCAATTTGGGGGGGGCTAAGCTAGAGGGAAAAGGTGCACGCTGTATGTGAGAAAACATGGTATAAAAAGCTAGTGTTGTCTTAATCAAATCAGAAAGACACTTTGCCAAAGTGAACTAAAAGCAAAATATTTTTAGGATACTAAATTAAAAAACCTGTTAGAATAAACACCTTTATGGACCAAAGGAAAACCACCTCTTAAAAATTACAACCTATATGCTGTTTAAAATCAAAAACTTAATAAAACTTTGGACAGATATATAATAAAAATATGACTTACAAATAATAGGATAACCATTTCTTCCAGCACAAGCTGCTGCCAATGTTCTTCCATCATGAGAAAAACGAACACAGAAACATCCCATATCACCTCCTCGTAGTGAAAATAGGTGTTTGTTTGGTATACGACAAACCTGTATTTCCAGGCAAGAACCTTTATGATCTAGTTGTGAATGTTTTAAAGTGTTGCATATTTATCATTCTTACTTACTATATACTAAATTGATTTAAGACCTGTGGATACACTGAAGGGAAAAAAAACCCTAAAAAATATCTTTAAAGTAGCTCTGCTTGATGGTGCATTCCACATTTTTAATTTCAATTCATTTTCATTACTGATAACTACATAAAAAACAAGGTCTTTAGATGTCCCATTCAACATTTTAAGCCAATGTTACCTCCCAAATCAACCTTTAAATATCAAAATAAGTTCACTGATTTTAAGAGAAGCTTAATATTCACCACTTCTGTTTACATTAATCTAGGTCACAGAAGCTCACCCCTTATATTCTTTAAGTGCCTAAGTATGAATTTAGGTACCTGTCTGTAAGCTCTGAAAAAAATTAAATTTTATTTTAAAAAATGCGTCCTTCATCTTAAATCCTGCCTGCAATATCAATTGTTACCATAGGAATAGTTACAGTTTAAAAAAGAAGTATGGCTTCAACTGAGAAACAAGTAAAGTAGCATGAAAGCATTCATTGTTAAGAAACAACAGTCCTATTTTTAAACATCCCCCGACCCTGAACAAAAATTTAAAACGTGTATGCATTTTTACAGAGCAGTGCAATGTTACAAGTATGCTTATATGGTCACAAGACTGAGGACAATGGATGCCCACTGACTTCAATGGAATTAGATTAGGACCACAGCTATTAAAAACAAACAGAAGAGGAAATGTAGAAAACTAACAAAGCGGTTTTGAAATTAAAAGTTACTCAGTTTCATTGAAAGCATGAGCTTGTTAAACCATTGCTTGTTAATAACTATTGAAATGGAGTAAAACTATAAGCAATTTAAAAGACCTAAAAAACAGAAAAGAGAAAACAAAACACAACCCATGCACCAGCTATTTCACTTTTAAAATCTTATAGAAAACCATGACTTCAACAAGGAACCATTTTACTACTACAGTTCTATTAAAACAATCACATTGTATGCATTAAAATTAATGTTTTTCATATAAGCTATGTATTTTGATTTAACTCTGATTTTTTTTAATTGGATTTTCTTATGCTTTAAAGTTTCTTGGCAGCAATGTTGATAAAATGTCATTTTGATTTTGCTGAAACCTTTCTAGGTCACATAAAAAAAACAATAAAAAGGATCTCCCTATCACTTTAAAACAATTTCTACTACAGTATTTATATCGATACATTTACTATTAAATAACTGCCAAAGTTGATATGCACTTCATAATGACAGGTAAATGTTCTCAAGATTATAAGTTTCCTTCATTTGGTATAAGTATTTGTTTATGGAACAGAAAAAATAAATCTAGTGAAACATTTTGAAACATCATTAAAAATTGTGTAAATTTAGATTTATGCACTGTAAAAAAAATCTAAACCACCCCCCTCCCCCCAATTCATCCCCATGGACCATTTTATCCTTAAAAGACCTTGCTGTTTTAAAACAATTTGTTATCAATTTCTCCAATATTTCCTTCTTATTACTCTGGCTATTAAAGAAATATGAAAAATTGGCAGATGTTATAATTTATATCTATCTTTTAGGGTATAAATATTCATAATGAAATCAAGGTACATAAAAAGTTGCATATAAGGATTGCATGTGGATATTTTTTTAAAGGCAAGGTTGTATAAGGTTTACTTCTTGCATTGGAAGCTAAGCTTCCCACAGGGTAGAATTATTTGGGGAGAAATCTGCAGGGAAATCAGATCTCAGACTTCCTTTTGCAGGAATATCTTGCTCCATTTGTTTGCTTGGACTTCAATTTTTATTTTAAGATGAAAGACTTGTTGCATAATATTGTAAAACAGGACTGGTTCAACTTCTGTGTGGCCAGGAGCCACAATCCCCTGATGCATGGATGGCACACTGAGTCGCATGCATGCTGGCTGTGCACCACACCCAGCCATGCCTGCCAGGCTGCACAGGCAACCCCCACTGTACACACAGGCATTTTCATGCCACCTGGGGTTCTCTCAGCCTCCAGGCCATGGGCTCCCCGAGAGGCCAGGACAGCCTGTAGAAGCTGGAGGGAAGGAGGGCCCAGAGACTCTGATGGCAGCAACAGAAGAGCAATGGGAGGAGCAGCACCTGGATGGAGAGCCCAGGGGATTCAGGTTAACCCCTCAGAGACTGCATGCAGCCCACAGGCTGCCAGTTGCAGAGCCCTGTAAAATAAGCTTCTAAGCAGACAATGAATTTACTATTATCTTACCTGCCCGGGCAGTTTTGTCCATTTAAACTGCTCTTTTTTCTCTTCTGGACCAGATTCACTATCTTTTTTAGAGACCTCATTCTGCAGCTCACAGAATGATGTGCTACCTTGCTCCTGCTGAAGAGCCATCATAGAACGGAAAGAAGGATCTACCTACATACAGACAAAACAGGAATGGAAAATCTTAAAATAACTCAAGCTTTAAGCACACTGTAATATTTTACAATACTAAAATAATATATAGGAGTTTTCAAGAAGTAAATGTATTTTGTATTACAACTAAATAGGGACAAAAAGCAAAACAAAATAAAATATGTATTTCTAAGACATCTATGCTGAAATAAAAGATAATATATGCAGTTTTTTCTAGTATAATTAAGTGTAAATAAAAAGGAACCCAATCTTTTATTAAACAGTGGTTTAATACTTTTCCTGTTTTATTAGCTTTTTCCACGTTGTCCCGCACTGAGAGGGGCTATGCAGCACCCTCCGGTTCGTGACAGATCTGGATTTATGGGATGAGGAAGGCACGAGATGTATATGGTTATAAAAAAGGAGATTTATTGACTTACGTCCCTTAATGATGGTGACTGGAATGCAGGAGTTACAAGTTACACTTTGTTCCCAGTTGCGGCTTGGCAGCTTGCAAGCTAATTTACTCGGTACGGGTACGGGTACGGGGGTGGTTGTTACACCTGGGGAGCGTCGGCGGGAGACGACGGGCGATCAGCCCGGGGGGTGTAACTGCGAGTCCGGCTCGAGTTACTGATGAATGGCAGTCTCCCCGAACAAAGGACGGGGAAACTTTTTATGACTTTTCTTATCAGGTTTTACTCTGTGTCAGCCAATCATGACTACAAACGGATTCTTCTTTGTCTGCTCAGGTTTCAACACAGGCTTTCCCTCCTGTCAGCCCAGCCATCAGGACGGGGGGGTGTTTCTTTTTGTTTGGGTGGTACTGAGCCTGTTTGGTCACAAGAGGGTGAGCACGGCACTTTATTCTGATTTTACAGTTTCATTTGAGTCAGCTAATTTGGAGCCCCGTTTATCTGGTTGCCACAGGCACCGGTATCTTTCTTTGACGTCATGGTACTGGGCCAAGGTTAGTTCTCCTGTGTGGGGGTCTCAAGTGATCTGGATGGGGCACAGGCAAGGGTGTGCATGCAGCACTGTTGCTAACTTGTACTTGACACACGTGTGGCTGAGACTGGAAATGGAGCAAAAAGTTCTCATTATTAAAAGCGGCTAACCTATTTAAGGCCAGCACTGACTTTTTAGATGTGAAGTGCTGCATGGAGGAAGAGGCTATTCAGCTCATCCTGGCCACCTCTGGGACCCAAACAAGTCACACTATTTACAGTAAAAAAAAGAACAGTCTTGCTTCTGCGCTTCCAAGGATTGGACGTCTAACTACAAGTTACATGCAGTTTTAATGATAAAGGGATACTGAAAAAAATTCTGGTAAATAGGCTTAACCAACTTCAAGTAAGATATCAACAGAACTCATCAACTGCACAAAGGAGGCTTGATGTCAAATGACACAAGAACAACAGAACTGGTCGCTGCCCAGCTTTCCAGTAACAGTATACTGTAGCTACCCAATAGGGTAGGATATTGCTATTTGGCTAACAAAATCTTTCAATCTCTTAATGAAACAGTATTGCCAAGGAATATTTTAATATCAAGGAAAACACAAGCCACTTCATCTCTGTCAGTCCACCCCCCTCTGCTCCCCCTTCCACACATATACACTTTTTTTTTACTTGTCTGTTACTATTTTTACTTACATACCATACACACCTTTCCCCAAAAAAGCACACTTCCAAAATTGAGGTACGTGTCTTAAAAGGGGAAGCTGATTTTTCTTTGCTGGAATAGAAACAGGGAGCAATATTACAGCACAGCATCTGCTTGTTTCTGGCTGCCAACATAGCTTCCACCTGTCCCTCCAAGCAGAAGGTGCAGCCCTGGCATTAATCCTCTTACAGCCACTGTTGGCTATAATTTGTGCCTAAAGCAGCAATTGAGATGGCTCAGGGCAACTGAGTAGCTGCTTGCAGTCTACCATATCTTGATAAGGCTGGTGCTGTGAATGTCTTAGAAATAAATCTTTTATTATTTACAGGAACTTATATAAAGAACAATGTGAAAGAGAGCCTGGAACACTGTTACTTTAAGAGAGAAGCCAGCTGTGCAGGGCACAGCTGCAACTGGGTCACCATGGAGACCAGTTGATGAGATTAATTAGCAGGCACCTGCAAGCAACCCAGGGGAGCCACCTGACCAGAAGGAGGCAGGGCCCTGGGAGAGAGATAAGGCAGGGCTAGAGCCAGGGCAGGCAGTCTGGCCATGGAGGCTGAGCAGGGAAGAGGTGCCTAAAACTGAAAGGCAAACTGAGTGTGCCAGCCCCAAAGACAGCTTGAGAAGCTGACGGCTAGCAACTGATTAGGACCCAGGCTTGGGTAGGAGTGTTGTTACAGCCAGAAGGGCTTGTGTTTTGGTTTTAGTTTGGTCTGGTGCATGGGGTGGGGACCAGGAGAGCTTGATGCCCAGGGAGGGACTAGATACTGAAAGAATACCCAGTGGTTTGGGGGGAACAGAGACAGTGAGGGGTGGCTTACAGATCCCATAGCACCTGCAAAGCGGGTGCAGCAATCCCATAGTGCCCAAGAGGGGCAACTGTACAGCGCCTGCAAGGGGCATACTGAGTACACGTAGAAGGGTGATTCCATAGAGCCCATGAGGGGTGCTTCTAGAGACCCTAGGGAGGCTCAGCAGCCCAAGAAAGAGCAGAGACAGGGCTCTGGAAGGCAGACTGGCAGCTGGGAACCCTGAAGCTCAGTCCAGTCGGTGGTCTATAGCTAGAGGGCTCTTCAATAATAAAAAGGACAGAGGCCTAGAAAGCCAAAGGCAACACTGGAACAACGGCAGGCTCAATCCAAGACCCTCAGGCAGCCTTCCTCCTTTTCAATCAATAACATCAAAAGTGTAGCAGATGAGCAAAGGAGGTGAGGGCTCCTGGAGTCAGCCAAGACTATAGAAAACTTTTTTCTATATTCTGCCTTTCAAAAATAAGACACATCGTATTTGAGCATATGAGATACGTGAAAAAAATATGCTAACATAAAGGTACATAGAATCAAATTAATCTCTGTTGAAGAGGACCAGTGCTAGATCTTCCCCTATAACCAAGCCATATGGAGAACAGTAAGAAAAATGACTGCTAGTTTGTTGTCCACACGTGTGTCTCAAAGGACATAGTAGAAAAGCTGCCACCTGGACAGAGCCAAGCAGACTAGTAGTCCAGGAGACCCAGCCACCTATGCAACTTGTGCAGAGGCTGCTGTTATTCCTATCTGTGAGCTACAACATACGTTTGACTTGGATTTAGAATATGATTTCGTCTCTTCATCCTTGCACTGTTCCTCACTACATCTATATTAAACAAAAAAAACCCTTTTGAATTATGCTGCAACTGTAAACAATAAAACCATTTTTTATAGCAAGGTTGTTAAATGTATGGTCTAAGACAGGATCTGGCTCATGGAGATGTGTCATCTGGCCTGAAGGCCTATTCATGATTCAGAAGACCCACCTGTGGATCTGTTCCATACAACCAGAAATTTGGCAGTGGGGTATGTGATGGTGCCATTAACCACTGTGGCTGCCAGAGCTCCTCTTTCATTGGTGCTGGTGCTGCCAACACAGTGGCTCAGGAAGCCACAGGGTTAACATTATCATCACTCAACCTGCTGCCTAATTTCTTGGTTGAGATCCCCATTAAAGATACAATTTTATGGCAGTGGGGAAAGGATTATGTTCTTATGCTCTCAATATTAACCCCATGTGGCTGCCAGAGCCACCATATTGCTGATGCCAGAAACCAGAGAGCTCACATTGCCACTGTTTGCCTTGCCACTGGAAATGAATCACTTGCCTTGTAAGAAGCCCCATGGTGAGGATGGTAAACAAGTTGCACACACCTGATTTATAGTACTTAACATGTTTATTTTAAAAAGTGCCCATCTGAGCACTGCTGAAGCTAATAACCATGGTTACTCTGAACTTTCCCTTCTTTTAAAATGTGTTTACATTTCTATATATCTCTGTGTGTGTGTGTGTGTGTGTGTGTGTGTTTGTGTGTGTGTGTGTGTAACTGCATATACATATTTATCTATCTATGCTTAGAGGTCTACATCTATATATAGAGAGAAAGAGAAAGATAAGGAGTTCTGCTATATAGTGTAAAAATAAAATTAGGCTCCAATCTCATATTGGTTTTATACTAGTGATACTAACTTTAGTGTAGCTCCCAGTTTTCAACTGAGAGGGTCAAGATGTGCTAGATCAACCCCCAACACAGGTGCCAGAGCATGGCACGCGAAGGCATTTTGCTTGGCACGGACACTTTGGAGCGAACAGTGGGGAAGGAGCTGGGACCACACTGCCACAACAATGATTGGACCCCTTGTGGCTCTCCCGCCATCCACCCCGAGTGCACCAACATCTTACAAGTTAGGGGTGTTTTTGGCACTCTGCCCAAAAACACCGCTAATTAATGCCTGTCCTAGATGCTACATTGCTGCTTGCAAGTTTTGTGGAAACCAGTGGCCAAATGACAAGGGAATTCATAGAATCATGGAAAATTAAGATTGGAAGGTACCTCAGGAAGTCATCTAGTCCAACCCCCTGCTCAAACCAGGACCATCCCAACCAAGAATTTGTCTAGCTGGGGTTTAAAAACCACTAAGGATGGTGATTCCACAACCCCTCTGGGCAACCTGGTCCAGTGCTTTACTACCCTCCTCCACAGAGATTTTTTTCCTAATGTCTAACCTAAACTTCCCTTGCTGCAACTTGAAAGCATTGCTTCTGCCACCACTGAGAACAGTCTAACTCCATCTTTTTTGGAACCTCATTTCAGGTAGTTGAAAGTTGTTATTAAATGACCTCTCTGTCTTCTCTTTTCCAGACTAAATAAGTCCAGTTTCTTCAGTCACTCTTCATAAATGTGCCCCAGCCCCTAACCATTTACACTGCTCTCCAGCGGACTCTCTCCAATTTGTCCACATCCTTTCTGTAGTGGGGGGCTCTGTGGCAGGGCGCCCTAGGGGTGCCATGACCTCCCCTAGTGCCCTGCTTACCGTGCCAAGTCTGGGTCCTGAACACACCCTCTGTCTCGCCCGCCACATCTTTGATCTTTTATTATCAATGGGAGGCTGCCTTCCTGCCCTCCTTGGCACAGGCCGGTCTTACTATACCAGGAGTCTGCTCTACTCCCTGTGCTGGCCTTCTCCCGGGCCTACTTGATATGCGCCCTCTCCTGGGGCTTCTCCCCGCACTCTCGCCCCCCCGCTGGGGCCTGTGCCTCGCTCTCCTCGCGCTCGCTCACTGGGGGCCTTCTATGCCCACACTCCCGTGTTTGCCCACACTGGGGCCTTCTATGCTCGCGCTTCCTGCGCTTGCCCACACTGGGGCCTCTAACTGGGCTCACCCCCTTTTGGGGCTTCCCCCTTCCAGGCAGCGCCCCACTGGGGCCTACCCCTCATACATCTCGCGGTCACCCGCGCTCCTCGCCCGACTCAGGCCTGTACTCGCGCTTCCCGCACTCCTCGCCTGACTCAGGCCTGTACTCGCGCTTCCCGCACTCCTCGCATTTTGCACGCTCGGGGCTCAGGCGGCCTCAGCATTACCTGGCCCCAGCCCCCTTGCAGGGTTCTACGCCCAACTCAGGCCTTGCTTGCGCTTCCCGCGCCTCGCCCGCACTCGGGCCTAGTCTCACGCTTCCTGCGCTCAGGGCTCAGGCAGCCTCAGCCTTACCTGGCCCCAGACCCCTTTCCTGAGTCTATGCCCGACTCGGGCTCTCCCAGTTGGGGCTCAGGCGGCCTTGGCCTTACCTGGCCCCCAGACCCGCCTTCTTGGGCCTATGCCCCACTGGGGCCTACTCGCGCTTCTTGTGCCCTTGCACCTCTTGTGCCCTCGCCCACTGGGCCTCTTGCCTGTGCTCCCGTAGCCCGCACCAGAGTCTCTTCCCCGTGCCTGCATAGCCCGCACCAGGCTCCTACTCGCACTTCTCACGCCCACTACAGCGCCCTCCCTGGCGCTCAGAGCACCCCCACCTTACTGGGGGGCTCCCACTGAGGCCTCCTCCACCCCTACAGCCTCACCCGGTCCTCCAGTTTTAAACACAATAACCCAAAACCATAATCTCCCTTTCCTGGGTTATAACACACCTCCAACACAATCTCCCCCTTCCTGGGTTACCACGCAACTCCAAGCCAACCTGGCTATCTCTGTGTATCCTTCTCAGGGTTTCCTCCACCCATCATTATACGCAGACACTCTCCAGCCATCAGGCCTCTCTGTTATCCTCGGCTCTGTTTACTCCCACAGAGCTCCTTCTCCTTGTGCTGCCTGAAGGAGACTGCCTCTGGCCCTAGCCTTCTCTGCTTATGAAGGCCAGGCCCTGCCCCCTGGCGGTCAGCTGACCCAATTAGTTGCCCTAGCAACTCCCAGCTGCTGCCCTGTTGCCCGGCAGCTACCCATTTACTACTACTCAGTAGCAGGCACCCTACTGTCCTGCTACAGGCTCAAAGCTGGACACAGTACTCCAGATGCGGCCTCACCAGTGCTGAATACAGGGAAAGAATCACTTCCCTCAATCTGCTGGCAATGCTCCTACCAAAGCAACCCAGTATGCTCTTAGATTTCTTGGCAACTAGGACACACTGTTGGCTCATTCAGCTTCTTGTCCACTGTAACCCCCTGGTCCTTTTCTGTAGAGCTGCTGCCTAGCCTGTACTAGTGCATGGGATTGTACCAGACTAAGTGCAGGACTTGGACTTCTCCTTATTGAACCTCATGAGATTTCTTTTGGTCCAGTCCTCCAATATGTCAAGGTCACTTCACTCTGAATCCTAGCCCTACCTTCCAGAGTATCTACTACACCCAGCTTGGTGTCATCTGCAAACTTGCTGAGGGTGCACTCCATTCCATCTTCAAGGTCACTGAAGAAGATATTGAACATTCAAAGTAACAGGGGGGGGTGAATGTTTCTATTTGACTATGTTGTGAAGTGCTGAGCAAATAACATGATTTTTATTAGTCCTTTTTCAAGATGCTGTGTACAAAACAGTTTATTTAGTTAAGAAGGATTATAGAAATAACCTTGAGAACATAAGTTGTCCTCTTTAAGTTATTTGTAAATAAATATATTTATGTAACTTACATGATCTGGAAGTTTTATTCCTTTTATAGTTACATATAAAGTTGATGGGTAACGGTTTCTAGGACACTTTGCCCACCAGTGAAACACCTCAACAACGTTTGAGTGTGTTTTGGTCCTTGAAGGTGGATAATATAATTGCAGACGTACTTTTCCATCAATATTGAGAAGTCCATTTGCACCTACAAGCTAAAAAAGCAATTTAGAAAAATAAAAAAGAAATTAGTTACTTGAATTCAAAATTTACAGAAGTCATAAATGCTTCCAGGATCATACTGTAGCATCTCTCAAAAAGCAATTCCATTTTTAACCCCAGCCATATTTCAAATTGGCATTCTTTTATTACTGTCATTCTTGCTGTGATAGAGACATCACAAATAAAACTTTGTTGAATCAATTCAAACAAATATGTGGAAGAAACATCAAACAAATCTAATCTAGCCACTGGGAACAACTACGCCCCTTCCCTTCTTCCTTTTTCCATGCAGTTTCTCAGCAAAGGAGATTTATCTAGGCTCCAATGGAGAAAATGCAGCAGAAATAGCAGCCCTCCCAAATTTCAAACACACTGGAGTATAAATTTTTCTCATCTAACGAATGGAGTTAAGTATGTAGCTCATCATTAGACTCTGAAAACTGAATTAGGCCATACTACTAAGGAAAGAAGAAATATAGGAACTATAACTTATTCCTTTTCATAACTTATCTTTTGCCCTGCTGGTGGTGGCAATATGTCACCATTTTTTGGTAAAAGAGTCATGGCAATTTCAGTTTTTCAGGAATCAGTGCCCTTTCAATGACTGGTTCTCAACAAAAAGCTTCACTAGAATACAGAATAGCAACATAGAGAAACAGAATTCACTAAACTCTTTTCTGTATAGAGGTTATATTTATAAGAAATACAAACCCTAAGAAGCCATCCATTCTATTGCATATTTCAGCTTCTTTCTCTTTACAGAAGGCTTCAGTTCTTCTGCCATGTTCTGCACTTAAAGAAATTCTCATGTATTTTTGTATTTTATTGAGAAATAGCCATTTTCCCTGCTGCCAAATACAGTATTTTCTCTGACCCTTGTATAACAAAACTCTCTCTCTCTCTCTCTCAGATTTACATCTTACCACCTTTATGATTTAAAACACTTTCAAAATGTTTTTTGAGTAACAAGAGGCTATATTTTTTATTTTAATAGTACGTTTTTAAAAAAATCCTTTTGTTTAGGTTTAAAATACCTTTAGAAATGCCCAACAGATTTTGCGAAATCCACTTTCCTGAATTTGTACTTCAATGTTGGCTTTTGTTTCATCCATGCTTAAAAAATCAAGGATCTGCAGAGATGAATTAGAATGTAAATATTCCACTGGGTACATACAAATTTCCACTGAGCACATACTTTATGAGCATGAACAAAACAAAGCAAGTTTTAATTGTATTTTAAGGCTGCTTCCAAAAAAAGGCGCTTTACTTTCAACTCGGCATGCTCCCTCACTGAGCGCAGCGCATTCCCAGAAAAGGCATCACATGATTAGTTTGATTTGGCTCACCCAACATCTGTAGAAATCGGGCGCTTCAGTGGGGCTTTTTGGCACGTCAATAATCTATTAGATAAAAGTAACCAAAAGCCTCACTAAAGCACCTGATGTAGACAAACACTGGGGAGCCAGGTCAAGCTAACACACTTCTTCTTCTGGTAAAGCGCTGTTTTATTTTGGGTTTTTTTCACATCTGCAAGCAGCCAAATATTACAAAGACATAATTACTGGCTATGCAGCATCTACTTCCCCCCACAATAGAAATTAGGAAAAGAAAATCCCTCCACATCAGTGTTACGATCTTCCAGAACATGTAAAAGTCTGTCTTGCTTCATTGCTGTCTTTTTTTTTTTTTTTAAACAAAACATAAACCAAGAAAGAAAAAAAACTTAAAAACTGGACACACATATCTTTCTCAGCCATCTTACTTTTATCTTTTCACAATTCCTCTATATTTGCCCCAAGCATGGATATGCTTTAAATCCAAACAGAACTGTTTGGTCAAAAAAAATGTTTTTTCCCCTCAGTTTCATCAATTAGATATGAGTTTTTTGATTTTCATGGTTTATTTCCAGACACTCTTCACATCTGACCACTTCTGCATATTTATATAGTACATGCTATAAATAAAATTAGAACCAGTCCTCAAATTTGTGCTTGATTTCATTGAAATGACTTAATGGACACTGTAGTCTTCCATCTGAGCTAAGATTTCAGCTTTAACCATAAAGATATTTCCATGAAAAGCCTTTGCACACTCCTACATATAAATTACTTCAGTGCTGAGCTACCACAACCTTTTCTTAGTACTGTGAAAATACTTATTCTGTGTGTATTGCAGAACATAAAAAAAACCTGCTAGGTGATATTATAATACATAAGCATTTATGATAGGACATCAAACATATTTATGGTACTAAGTTTCCATTTTTATATTAATACTACAGAACATCTCATATACACTCAGTAAATATTGGAATATTTACACTCAACATACTTTTCAGTTTTGCTTCTAAACACAAATGTATATGAGATTGAAGTAAATATTACTGTGTGAAGAATGAAGGAGGAGAAAAAGTTAACTACATTTTTTGGCAAACATGCAAACCCTCACCACCTTGTAAGAGAAGCATTTCACTCACACTATACACTGAGCCACAGGACAATCCTTGGGATAGTAGCTAGCTAGTTAATCTTGCTTTGCTTTGGCATGCGTGGGTTACATAGAAGGCAGGGTAGAGATACACCTTATAGACCAGGGCGCCGCAGCCTATTGCCATAGGCCAGATTTGGTCCACAAAAGAGACTGGATCATGCTCAAGAAGGTCTAATCATTTTGTTAATGGTGTGCCAATTGCCTCTAACCACTCCAGCCAGTTTATCCAGCTGGCATAGAGGACTGCTCTTCCTCACTGTAGCCCATTCATTGTCACTGGAACAGCTGAAGCAGAATGGTGACTCATGGCACCAGTCAGGTCACGAGCTGCAGCTCGCTTTACTGAAAGGTTGTTGACTCGTTACAGACTGACTAAATCAAAGATGTACAAGGGTTCATGAGAAAGAGCTCATTTCACCCTGCCCTCTGCTTGACTTCAATCTAACAAAGCTAACTACCTGTCTGCTCGTGAAGGGAACATAGAAGAACTTGTTAGGGCAACTACAACCTTAGCCTTTGAACTTCCTGGGTTAGTGATCCTTCCCCACAAAAAAACAGACAGCATCTTTATTCATCTTATCAGCCACCAGTCCCAATGCAACAGGCAGAAAACAACCGCTCCCAGTATGGGATCCCCAATTCTTCTTGAAAGCACTGTGTGTCAGCAAGTATATTTTGCTCCCTCTTCCTCTCCCATCACCCAAAGTGGGCTCTGCATTCATTAGCCAGGACAGAACTCCAAGAGAAAGATTTGAAAATTGCTTAAAGCAAACCCATTTCTAGTCCAGCTGCAATGTTTAGAATTCCTACCATAACATACTTTCTGAATGGTGCTATACTATCAGTACCACCAAAAAATATCCTAGTACTGCCTGAGCAGCATGAAAATGTTGATGTAAAATATTCAGTGCTTACCTCAAAAAACAGAATTACTCTAGGGCTTCCTTCAGCATCTTGAAGAAAATAACCAAAATGCTCATTAAATATGATTTGTTCTTCCCATTCTGGAAGCGTTGATTTAAACTTTCTGAAATCATAAGGCTGGGTCATAATAGGAAGAATGTGCTCAACTCGCTCTTGTTCATAGTATGATGAAACCGCCCTGTTACTATTTAAAAAAATTAAATTTGTCATAATTCCTTTTAAAACACAAAGAATAAAATTACTGCAACTACTACTAATTATTCTACATAGAAGAAAAGTCTGAAATAGTCCTGCATTCTACTGGAGAAAAATATTCCAGTAATCTGCTAGATCAAAAGGCTATTGGGGACTGGGGTTATGTGGACACTAAGGCACATGTTTAACAGCCCAGAGGTTGCAAGTTCAAGGCCACTGCAGCTGCGCTCACACTGCAGCCCTATCATATTCTAATGAATTTAGAAATTCTACTAAATACCTTGTCACAAGAAGGAAGGAAGAATGCTATTGGCGTTGTATGGGGAAATAAGACCAGTAAAAATTCAAAATTCTAAGAATCGAATCACTCTAACTAGGTCTAATCAATTAAATTATTACAAATTAGTAGTAGACTTCAGGGAGAGTTTGCATCAGATTTATTGGGAGTTAATAACACAAAAAGGAGTAGGAAAAATGAAATGCTTATGGGAAACTTAAACTTCATTTCAATATTCTTATGGATGTTTTCCATAAAATCAAAAGGTAACCTTATTTATACTTTAATACTTTTGTTGGTTTATTCTCAGGTAGAATCATTAATAAGCTAATGTTTGGGAATTTCTCTCTGTCTTTTAGGAGAAGAAATAAATCAGCTAAATTTAAAGCTGCAATATTCTGACAGCCACGCTGCTATTCTGATAAGAAGCACATTTACAGCTGGAAGAGAGAAAGGAGAACAACAGTTCTCACTTCCTGCAAATACTTAAGTTGCAGGAAATTTTGAAGTCAATAAGAACTCTCACACACTTAAAGTGAAGTAAGTACATGTGTGCACAACCCCGTTCCCTCCCCCTCAACACACACAGTGTAATTTTTACAGTATGAGCCGAAGTACTTATTTCAATAATTGTTTCCAAACAAAAGCGGGTGTGCAGTTTAAAACAACAGCCAAAAATAAATTAATAAAATCACCTATGTTCTTTCTTGACATACAGTCCTGTCTTTTGATCAATCACATGAATCTTGACCATAGGATGCGATACCAGCAGGTCAGTTTTAAGCCGATCAGTTCGATGGATATAAACCCCTAGCACAAGACCATCATCAGAAACAAATTTGGATTGAGCTGAAGCTTCTGGCCTAATAATTTCCTGTATATTCTGTGCATCAATAGCTGCATTTTCTTCTATTACTAGAAGAAAAAGCAAAAAAAGAAAAAGTTATTGAGCTTTGCTAGTGACACGTAAGGATTAAAATCGTATCATATTTGCACAGCAAACTTTACATTAAGCTAGCAATTTGTGAAGTAGCATTAAAATAAAATTAATAGCATTAACTGCATATGAAGTAAACCTATGAAGTAGTTTTAAAACCCATAAACCTTCACAAACATACAAAGCAGTGTTAAAGTTAATAGCATTAACCGCATATGGATTAATATTTATTCATGGAAGCTGATACAAGAACTTTTCTGGTGTTCACTGACAATTTGTGAAGCAAAATCTTTGTTCTTGGTTTGTACAAGCTCTTCACTGCAACTTTCATGGTCAAGTAAATTAAAATATTTATTCTTATGGTCATTTTATGACTTCAACAACCGAACACTATGCTGTTAAATGTATGTAATTATACTTATGAGCTCTTACTACTATTCAGGAAGTCAAAGAACAGCATAAGAAGCTAAATCTCCAAGACTCCTAAAGGATTTTCTCACTTAGGATGAGAGTATCAAATTAGATTCTCAGCAAATAAATCCCCCGTATAACCTGGCTATACCAGCATAATTTACATAGCTTTTGTATACTGATACTACACTTGGATAAGGAAAGGACAGAGAACTGATTCTGCTTGGGTAGCTGCTTGTAACAGGAGATATTACAGTACCTTGCCACTAAGGGGTTGCAAGCACGCAATAATCTGCTTGCTTGAGCAAATGGGTAGCTCTGAACGGCCATAGACATGACGCATTTTCTGTAGTTTTACCTCCTGATTTTCCCCAGGATAATTTTACACCAGGATGGAGAATGTTACACCTAGAAGGACTGTATATTGTTTACAACAGTGTAAAGGGTGATTATTACATCAGGAAATGTGTGATGTCTAACACATGGGAAACATACACTGGACTGTAAATAAAGATACATTATTGGTCACATAAGCCATCTTTATCACACCAAAATATCCGAGGAAAAACAAAAATCTTCCAATACTTTAACTGTAACTTTTTAATTGCAAACTACACAGCTGGAATAGACTTAGACAAGCTTTTAAATGCATTACAGCCCATCCTAATTGTGAAGTTGGTCCAATAAAAAGTTATCACCCACAAAAACCCTCTGTTTCTTGCATATTTCCTGGACCATGACAGGTACAACATCACTCCAACACTACCAAACCTTTTTTAGATTTTTTTGCCTTCTTAGCTTTAAGTTTCTGTTTCTCCATGTCTTCTTCCTCCATTATTTGTTCTTCTGTAGTCGCATGATCGTCTTTACAACACGATGCAAGCAATCTTCCTGATTTTTTTTTGTCATGATCATCGTCTATGGGATCCTGCTGCAACTCAGAGAGGGACATTGCACTGCAACACAACATATACTGTTAGTAACTGTATACTACTGTGTGAATGCACAGAACTCATTACCATTTTTCTTCATTAAAAATATGTTGATTTTGGAACCACCTCTATTTCTTCAGTTTATGAGCTGTCCAAAATGTCAACCAAAGACATTTCATTTTACCCTTCTTTAAGCATGGTAACAGTAACTGTAGAACAAATGTTTGAAGTATGTATACTTAAAAAAATTCCTTCTCTTCTTACAAATAAATACTAATCTCGGCAGTATTTTCAGATACCATGTGGTGGAAATCTTTTGCCTCACAAAATCAGCTGGCTAGTTTGTAGTTTAAAAAATTCCATACAGCTCTATCTGATAACTCTTTCCCATGTTAAAAATCAAACGTTTTAATATTTATACATGCAGTGATTATAGTTTACCATTGTACCTTGCTTCAGCTTCATTTACAACTGGCACTTCTTTCTTCTTTTTCTTCTTTTTGCCCACTTCATTATTCAGTACAACTTCAGGGCTTTGAACACTGGAGGTGAATTCAGACATCTGTTCTTTAAGTTTTTTTCTTATTTTCTTTTTAATTGCATTTACCTCATCCTCAGCCACTTGCAGCTGGTAGGCTTGAATTAGCTGTTCTTCCTCTTCTAATTCAGTTATCTCTCTCGCTTCAGTCAAGGCACTTTTTATCTTTTTGTCACCTTCTTGATGAGGTGCATCTGTCTGTGATTTACTTCTTGTTTTTTCCTTTGGAAAATCATTAATCTTTTTTTCAAAACTCTCCAATTTAGTTTCATATACATTTTCATCCTCATTAAGTTGTTCTTGTAACAGAGCTTTCTTTTTCTTCTTGTTACACTTTGGTTGCTTGTTTTCCTCTCCACTAACAACAACTTTGTTTATTTTTTCTATAACTGAACTTCTGTCTCTTAGTTTGTGTTTTGGAAATTGGGGACTCTCGTCTTGAGGACTGTAAGTGTTTATAATTGCCTCATCATTACCATTGTCTTTCACGAGTTCAAGATTATTGCTGAAAGTGTCAAGCTAAAAAATAAGAAACATGGAAAATTATTTAAATATAAATCACATATTACCATAATAAATATAACTGTATAAACTAATAACATACAAAAGTAGTGTTGTATGTGAGGTAGAACTGAAAGCAGGTATCAAATTCATTAAACTTATCAATTAACAGATGGAATAGTAACATATAACTCTCACTTAAAAAGGAAGAAACTTGAAATGTTTGTATTTAAGCAGCTTTAAACTTTTACTTCAAGGGTTGGTAGTTTTTTTTCTTTTTTGGGGGGTGGGGTGGGGGGGAGGGTTAATATGTATATCCACCACACAGTAAAATTCAGAATTCTCTTGATGAACGGAACTGCTTCAGAATATGCCGATGTTATACACTTTGAAAGATCTGCAGAACATAATCTGATATTTTAATACAAATGTGACATAAACTGCAACCTGAACACTACGGATTCCTTTTTATTCTGAGCACTGGGTGCCAAAGTTGGACACTGAAAGTACATTTAAAAAGGCAGTGCTGCTAAAATTGAAAGAACTGATGACTCTAAAGTGATAACCCTTATGATTTTGGGGGAAAAAAATCTTTTCATAAGCCATTTATGAAAAGAACAGCAGTTTTCACAAAATCTAGCTGATTTAAAAAATGAAAAAGTTAAAAACAGTTTCAGTTAATACACCTGCCTTTTAGCCCCTCTACCAATTTTTGTGGTTTGCAAAATGCTTCCCTCCTCTTCTTTTAAAACGCTCGCTCTCTTGTTGCTAATGCTAAGTAAAAAACACAGACACCAAGGCAAACTGACTAGGGACCTGGCCCTGCAAGGGTCAGGATCCACACAAACAGACAACAGAGCTCCCTGGGGGGTCCACGTGGGCTCAGGACTTTGCTCAAAGGAAGCCTATGGTAGGGTTTAGATGTAATCCACCTTTTCCATCACATGACACTTTATTTTCAGTAAATAAGACAACCTTGAAACGCCCTTCACTTATTGCTGGGAACCCTCCACCTTTCAAAAATATGGGAAAGCACAAAGGCTAAAAGTCCCTTTATACCTGTTTTCAAACTCCTACAATGATAATCCCTGTTATACATGTTACTTGAAAGGCTAAATAAGATTTTTAAAATACTTTTTAAAGAGAAATTATCTATTTAAAACTATATTAGTCTTACATCTCTCTCTCTCTTTAAAGCCACTGTATAGTAACTGGGCATTAAAAATGTGCTTGTCCTATCCAGACAATACCACTACATGGCACGCTCTAACGTTGTTAAGCTGAGTGATAACAGAAGAAGCCTAGCCACTAACATAGGCAAAACACATGGCTGCAAAGGCAGCTTTTGGAAATCTCTAAATTTTAGATAACCATCTCTGAACAACAAGAAAGAGAATATAACTAACCTCTCATCTGGCTGGGCCAGAAGGAGAACACTATTCTTATCTGTAAACCATATGCTTCCATTATAAGCTACAAGTTACACCTCAACTATCAGAGCTGCCAGAGCTTCCTTTGTATCCTTGAAATAGTCTGTTTTAGCCATGTCTGACATTACAAAAAGATTATGATGAGATGTGGAAAAGGCATAGGAGATGTTGAAAGAAAGGAAAGGGGAAAGTAGAAAGGGGAAGGGAAAAAGAAAAAGAAAAAGAAAAGAAAAAGATGACGAGGAAGAGAATGAAAAAATACTGGTGGAAAAAAACATATAAAAGGTAGAACAAAAGGACAAGGTCCTGTCCATGCTAGAAAAATAAGTTGGATATATACCCTGGATATGCTGGGGGAAAATAACATCTAAGAAAAAAGGATGAAGAAAAAAAACCCATGCTTTACTCCAAAAAAAATAATTAAAAATCTTCATGCTAAGATATGAAACCATCATATTAGAAGTAGAATGTAAATTAACAGAAAACAGGAACTGGAACTCCGTATAATAGTGTTTACCACTTCTGCAATAACCCCAAGTCTAACAGTGCTGTACACATGCACAATCTGAGTAGGTGGTTCTATTTTTGGCTATGTATGGCTAAAAATAGTTTAAACTATACAGCATGTAATCATGAAAATGCCCACCAAGTGCACTTAACATTTTCCTGCTTAGGGAGACCAATAACATCCTTTTCTTTAAAAAAATCAATAATCTAAAAGGATGTGGCAAATTATGTGTAGATAACTTCTGAGAGACAGATAAAGAAAAGGAAAGAAAATAATATTTTAAGTGGCTAAAAAGGGCAGCAGGGTAGAAATAAACCAAAATGGAAAAAAAGATAACGCATACAGAAACACCAACTGCTTTCTGGTGGATTATCCCACATCCTTATCTGCATTTTTATAGAGCAGTCTTTACCTGTGAAGTCTGAATGAAATTATTTAACCTATCAGCAACTACAAAAGAAAGATGTAGTCAAAACTGTCAAATCTTTGCCTTTGACACAACCCTCTGTAACTCAAAAAAGTAGTAGTAGTTGTTTAAGGAAATAAGAACTGGGAACCAAAATGCAAGGACTTCATAAAGAAACTGAATGCTTCAAAATCTCTTTTAAGATATTGACTGGTCTGCGACTTTCTCTCTCATTTCATTCTTCCAAACAAACAAACCATTTTTGCCAAAGCTCTTCCAAAAAAAAAAAAAAAAAAAAATCAGTCTAAGGCTGACATGCAGCATGGAAACTATCAGTCAGGATGGTTAAAGTTCAGCAAAATTATAAGCAACTGAACATGAATTCTTATAATGGAATGTGTTATCTGCTATTCTCATATTTTTGGTTCTATGGTATTTTTCTTTTTTTTAGTTTTAACTTATAGCATTATCAAAATACACAAAATTAAATCCATCTTATGTTCAGTGAATTCTGAATACTTAATATTTACATGTGTATTCTAACCTTTTGTATATGCTAGTGACTGTAAGCACTGAATTGCATTTTCAGTTCTCCATGATTATAAGGATTCCCTGGCAACTTAGAAATACTATAAATATCCATCAAAGCCTTTTTCCCCAAATAAATACCTCTCAAATGGAACAGAAAACTAATTTTCAATCCAAAGCATGATTAAGTATCAGATATACAAGGATATTTCTAGAAGACATATAGTTCATTCACTGATGTACAATTATATGGTCAAAAGTATTCACATAATACTTAAAAAGGACATGTTTAAAAACTCTTATTTCACAGGTCAAAGAGACCTGAAAAGAATCTATCTATCCTTATGCAAGTATAAAAACAGACTGCAGGATCTCTCAAGTAAGTAGAGAAGAAAACATTTATATACTAAACATACTATATACTACACAGACTATATTTATTTTATATCAAAGCATCAACCCCTTAATCTCAAACATCTACAGTTTAAATAAATACACTTCTAAAGCCTGCTATGGGTGAGAAGATAGGAGAAAATAAAAAACAGAAAAACTCAGAATGAAAAACTTAAAAAAACAGAAAGCAAAACTCAAAGCCAAATGTACCACTTTTAAGCCATTCATTTTAAGCGGCAAAATAGTATGAGTCAGCGGTTGGGAAGAGCAATACTGCTCATATTAAGCTTTTATTCTTTTCTGTAAAATGAGGACAATAAAAAGTGAACTCAGATCAGATCAGTAAAGTAGTGATGTACCAGAAACAAAAATGCCATCTAGTGATGAACTGGGAGAGATACAATATTTTCATATACATGTAACACACAAACTTCCAGATTCTTAAAGGCATGCACGCACACTCCCCCCATCCATGTCTGCTCAAAATTAAAAGTATGCATATTCCATTGGGATTATTCAGATACATAAAATTAAACAGAAGCAGATGAAAGATTAAGACATAATGCAGATTTTTTCCCTGAGTTTCTAGTGTGAATTAATTTTGTTTGCACATTTTTTGCATATCAATACCACTGAAAAATTTAGTAAGTGTTAAAGTGTACCTTTGATACCAACATGAAAAAGACAACTAATATATGTTTGTAAACAGGCATGTTATTTGTTCTAAGAGCTAATTATTATTAATAATATTATTACTTTTATATGGGTACAATTCTGCAAACTCATTGCTAGGGATCTACTGAAATCACAATTTCACAATTTTCACAGAAACCACAATTTCAGGCGGTCTCTGCAAAAAGCAAGAAACCACTGGGCAGGGTGGGAAGGAAGAAACCTGCAAGAACAGAACAGGGCTGAAGCCCTTGGATCCTGAAGCACAGGAGAAGGGAGAGAGGCAGGAGAGAAGGAGCAAATCAGAGACTGAGCCCCAACATGGGCTCAGTCCAGTAACAGAAGCAGGAGGGCAGGGAGAAGGTGGAGGGAGCCCCCTGCCCCCACCTTGTCATTTTGCATAACCCTGCCTCCCTTCCATAGCCCCATTAATTATTTGCATAACCCCACATCCAATCCCACCCTCCCACTCTTTTCCCCATGCTCATTCCATCATTTGCATAACTCCACCCATGCTCTACATTTCCCCCTTTGAGAATCACTCCACCTCCCCCCCTCATTCTATTATTTGCATAACCCCACCCCCTGTAGAGACAGCCCCTCCATGACTTGCCTGCCCTCCCCACCCATGCTCCAAAACTGCAGGGCTTTTCTCTGCTTGCAGTAAATTTATGCTTGGGGATGACCCAAAACCATTGCTTAATTACCTTGATTAAACCCAGGGAAGCCATTAATCCATGCTTGATAAAGCATAAACCCCACTACAGCCCTCCCCTGGCTCTGCTCGTGCCCCTCACTCCCTCCCCATCCCCCCGATAACCCCCTGGCCCTACTCATGCTCCTCACTCCCCCCCACAACCCCCTGGACTTGCTCATTTCCTTCACTCCCCTCCACAACACCCTTTTCCACTCCTGACTGGGGCCCTGCAGCCATGCATTGTGTCCCCAGGCCCCAAGCCCTTACCCCAGCTGGACAACAGCCCCAGCCCTGCCCAACTCCCTCCCTCCCTTACTATGGGGCCTCAATCCCACCCCTCCACCCCTTTCCTGTGAAAGCTGTTCTGCAGGCTGCCTGGAGGCCATGGGATAGACATGCACATGGCTCCCCCGTCTCACTGCCCTCATCCCTCTCCCTCCCAACCCCTTGCCAGCCTCCAGAGAGCGCTTTGCAAAACTGCAAAATCCACAACTTTCTCTGGTAAAATGAGAAATCTGCGTTTTCCTCCAGTAAAGGGGAAAAAGCCATGGTTTTCTCCATTTTTCCACGAGAAACAAAAAACCTAGATCCCTGCTCATCACACGTGAAACGCTCAGTGAAGTTAATGTGAACTTCTTGAAGAACTTGACAAATGCCCCCCTTAAATGCTGCCAGAAACATTAACTAAAAATTGTATCTACAGAATTTTAATGATCAGTTTCATAGCAGGCACTATATAAGGTTAATTTTAATTACACTATAAATGACAACAGCCTTCATATAGCAGTAAAACTCTTAGTTTTAAACTTAGTATTCAATATGGTTATTATTATGCAATGCAAATATCAAAGTCATATATTAGAAATAAAAGACCTCCACTACACAGCAAACACCATCTTTTTGCATAAATGTTTGCTGACTCTTTAAAGCACACTTTTCTGACTGAGAAATATGGTTATGTTTTTCAGCAATGCAAGCAAACACTGTTTTCAGATTGTTAGACTTACTGCAATATTCTCTTGCGAGTGAAACTTTTTCTTCTTTAATTTCTTCCTGTCTGTAAGGCCAGAATGGGTCCTGAAGATTTCCTCAAAACGGACCTTGGTTTTTGCCTTAGCTTCACTCTCCGCTGCAGAGGAAAGTTAGAATAAGATTTGTCTACTTAAAAAATGAATCATTTTATGACATTACATAAACACTATAGTACTAGGGACAGAAGACACAATTTATTTAATTTACCTAGCAAAATGAGAGAAAGAAATCCCACTAATAATGTCAACCAATCAAAATTATTGCATAATATACTGCATTTACTAACACAGAACGCTCACTTTTCCTTCAAAATTAACCCTCCAAATTTAGGATTTCATAGATTTCATAGACATTACGGCTGGAAAGGACCTTGGAAGATCATTGAGTCCAGCCCCCCGCCCAAAGGGCAGGAAGTCAGCTGGGGTCATAGGATCCCAGCAAGATAAGCATCCAATTTGCTCTTGAAGGTGTTCAATGTAGGTGCTTGAACCACCTCCGATGGCAGGCTGTTCCAGACCTTGGGGGCTCGGACAGTAAAGAAATTCTTCCTTATGTCCAGCCTGAAACGGTCCTGCAGTAATTTATAACCGTTTGACCTCGTGATCCCTTGGGGCGCTCTGGTGAACAAATGTTCCCCCAGATACTGGTGGTCACCCCTGATAAATTTACAGGTGGCCATCAGATCATCCCTGAGCCTGCGGTTTTCCAGGCTAAAGAGCCCCATGGCTCTCAGCCTGTCGTCATAAGGTCTGTTTTTCCTGACCTCTGATCATGCGCGTGGCTCTTCTCTGGATTCTCTCAAGTTTCTCTACATACTTTTTGAATTGTGAAGCCCAAAACTTGATGCAGGATGCATGTCTTAAGCAGGGAAACTGATATTCTTCTTCAGAATAGAAGCAAGGAAGGAAAGAACCATGGAGATGCTGTACTGACTGCAAGAATTACTGTACTTCACTCTGAAATAGTTGGTACATCTACATGTGCATGCCACGGACACTCCTCACCATCCCCCTGGACGCTCCTCACCCTTCCCCCAGCAGTGATGACCAGCACTATGGCCTTCTGCTCACCACCATGCTAGCCACGCTCCACACCTGTGCTGACCACTGTCTGGCCCTTGTGGGGCTTGACCCCATCTGCCCCACTCTGCCATATGGCCCTGCAGCCAGGCCCTTAACCCAGCCTGTGCCCTGCCGCTTACAGACCATCAGCTACCAGCTCCTGGGCCACCTCCCAGAACACAGCAGTGTCACTGATAATGCCCACATGGACACTGCTGTGGCCATTGTCCATGAGTTCATGGTGCTCTAGCTCCGCCACTTCTGGGCTCATCCCTCCAGCCAGAACTGGTGGCACCAAATCATCCTGCATGCCTGGGACAATGAACAGTGGCTGGACTCGTTCCGCATGACCCAACCCATATTCTGCAAGCTAGTCTATCAGCTTGGCCTGCACCGAGAGCATCACCCCACCACTATGCACCAACCCTTCCATGTGGAGATTTGTGTTACCACCACCTTCATGAAGCTCTCCACACCCACCAGCCTGTTCGGGGTATGCAAGGCAGCACTAGGGTAGGTTGTTGTCAAGGTCTGTGGCACCCTCCAGGATGTGCTGGCAACACTGTAGTCTGGGTTGCCGACTCCCTAAAGGTGGTGGTAGGCTTCCAGCCACTTGACTTCTCCCATTGCATTGGGGCCCTCAATGGGACATATATCCCCATCATCTGCCCTTCCCAAGGAGACTACCTCTACTATAGCTGGTGTGGCTTCCACTCCATGCTGCAAGCCATGGTGGATCACAGAGGGATCTTCTCCAACATCTGCGCTGGCTGGGCTGGCAGCGCCCACAACATTTGGATTTTCCAGAACTCAGCTCTACCACTTCACACCACGAGTCCCCAACTTGCAGCTGGCAGATGTGACCATCCCATCTCTCATAGGGGACTCCACATACCTGCTGCAGCCATGGCTCATGCCCCCTTCAACAGCCACCTTGATCTATACTAGAAGCACTTCAACAGGTGCCAGAGCCAGAGTCGCACACTGGTCAAGTACAACTTTGGGCACCTCAAGGGACACTGGTGCACTCTCACCTGCCTTGAGTTTGCCAAGGCCAACATCCCCCAGGTCATCACCACAGCCCAAGTGCTGCACAACTTCTTCAAGCCCTGGTGGGAGATCTTTCAGGAGGCCTGGGTGGAGGCACGGCACACCAAGGATATCTGTCACCAGGAGCATGCCCTGCTGCAGCAGTGCTGGCGCCAACCCCCTCTGCCACCACCACCACCCAGAGGCCCTGGGCAAACTGTACACCCAGCAGCGAGGGCCAGGGTACCATGTGCATGAAGGTACCGCATGCTCACAGATCACCTTCACCACCACCCCTGCAGTAGGGCACCAGGGTGGCTGCCCACAAATCCCAGGCCCACAGGGCAACAACAAGACTATGCACACTGTGGACAGTTTGCAATAAATACTAACCTTTATTTTCTTCCAGAACACAAACCCCACCCAACCAGACCCCTGTCCTTCCCTCCCTCCCCAACGAGACCCCCCTCTTCATCCCAACATGCACCACCCGTAAAGCACCCTCTTCTCTGTGAAACTATTTACAAGAGTCTTATTCAGTGTCCAGGGGAGCAGTGGGGAGGAGGCACCTACAACACAGAGCCTGGAGGGAGTCACCTCAGCCTCTGCCACCAGCACTTCAGGTCCAGATGCCATGGCAACCCCGGTGGGCCACGGGCTGCCCCAGGGGTGAGGATAGGTGCTGTCCAGCCTGCTCTCCCTCCTCCTCCATGGGGATGAGGCCACCAGGGCCCGCATGGTGAGCTGGCACTGCCACGCCCATCTCTAGCTCAAAGGCCGCATATAATGGGGGGGGGAGACGGGACCCAGCCACTAGGGAACCAGGATCTGAAGTAGGGGGCCCTGGTCACTACAGGTGGCACTGCACCACCTCCCATGCCCACTGGGGTGCTTGATGCAGATGCACAGGTGGCTGCCAAGGCCTAGTCTGGGCTGGGGCCTGGACATCAGGTTGCACAATAGAGACCACCAGAACCAGCACCATATCCAAGACACGCTGATCACACTCAGTGGTGTCCACTGCCCAGCGCACCACGATGTGGCCTTGACCAGCCTCTCCAGGAGGGTGAGATGTCTCTCCTCAAGGGTGACCTGCCTCTGCTGAAGGGCAAGAGGCACCTGATCCACCTCCTGGTCCTTGAAGTGCCCAGCCTGAGAGTCTGCAAACAGCTCCTCAAAGATGTTCACCAGCCACTCGAGGAGAGCTGCCAAGTCCTGGCTCCAGCACTGACACAGCCAGTGCATGTGAAGCAGACAGTGATGGTGTCCCTAGGGCCCCCATCTCCACCGGTAACAGGTGGGTCTCCCCCAGTGTCCAGCAGCTGGCTCTGCAGAGCAAGGACAGAGAGGCTCTTTGTGAGAGTTTGCAACATTTCAGGTGTAACATGCACCGTACAGAGGAGCTGTGCACCGCCCACCCCCAGTTTGGGAGTCACGTACGGTGCCCACAGAAATTGCCTGGGTGGGCACTTCCACAGGCAGCTGCTGGGCAAGCCTTTCTTCCCACTTCCACAGTAGGGGCAGGTGGGCTCCTTGCAGCAGGCAACCTGCCTTCCCCACACCAACCCAAGCCTGGCTATGGCTGGCCACTGCCAGAGCTGCCACAGTAGCTCTGGAGCAACTCTCCACTCCCCACTCCTGCTTCTCCTTCCTACAGGCAAGGCACTTTGCTCCCATGCCTCCAGAGTCATAGTGCCCAGGTTCTAGGGGTGAGGGGCTCCCACCCAGATGAGACATGGACCTGGTGGCCACCTCCTCCCAGCAGCCCTTTCCAGAGGCACCCCAGGCCAGGGCCTCTGCTGCATGTCTCCTGCACCTAAGCATGCCCCTGGTCAAAGTTACCTGGGGATGCTGAGATGAGCTGTTTGAGCGCTCCACAGGCTGCCTTACCCACTATGCCCTGCTGACTATGATCACGATAGTTCCCCAGGTGTAGCTGAAAACCTAGCACAGGGCCCTGAGCTTTGAGGGCACCCCAGGCAACATGTGCAGCTGCCTGGAGTATGTCTGCCTACGCTACAAGTGCCTGACCCCTGCGGCCGAGGAGATCAGCACTGCCATGAACAAGTTTTTCTGCCTGTGACAGGCCCCTGGCTGCCTAGCTGGGAGCCTGCAGGGTGCTCAAAGCTCTGCACTGCCTTCTGCCTCATTTGGGGGGGGGAAGGGGTCAGTGGATTGGGGATACAGCTCAGCCAGGCATGGCAGAAAGGGGAGGAGAGAGCCCTGCATCTCCCATGCAGGACCACTAGCTCCAGATGTGCAGCCTGAGGACAGGGGGATGAACTGGTGTGGGCACAAGTGGCTGTGGTGCGCCATCTCCTCCCTGGCCCGCCTCCCCGTGTAGTGCTTACCAGGTGGGTGTGGCAGCCACTCCCAGTGGTCCGAGGTTGTCCCTGGCTGTGGAGAGGAGGTCTGGCTGGCTCTGTCCCAGGGAGCCACAGTGCGGTGCCTGGCTGCTCCAGCAGTGGCTCCCTCCCGTGAGGAGCTGGAGCTGGTGTGTGCAGGGGCTATCCCCACCCTGTCCTCCTCCTCAGAGGTGGCCCATTCCTAAAGTAGCTGCCTGAGCGGCCAGGTGAAGCCAAGGGCAGGGAATGCACCCGGACCTGACACAGGAGCCCCAAGGGGCCCTCCTCTGGAGAGTCCTCCTGGCCCACGGGCCCTGGCTCAGGCTCCGGTGGTCTATAGAACGTGTGACAGGTCTTGCCAAGGTCCATGGAGGCCAGGATGCAGTCCAGCTCCTGGATGAAGGCAACCATGCACCACCTGTTGTGGTCCCACTCATGGACCCACTGAGTCCTCAGGGCCTTGACCCAGCACCTGGTGGCCAGAGTGCTGGTCTCTGCGCTCCTGCATCTGCCAGGCTATAGCCAAATAAACGTGAATGTTGGCCCTTGTTGCCTGGCTAAACTGGCACTAGACCTCAACACCCCCTAGATGGCGATGAGGTCCACAGCCTCCTCATGGGTCCAGTCAGGCCCCCAGACTTGTGTGTCAGTGTCTGGGGAGCCCAACATGACAGCAGCTGGCAGGAGTCTTGGGGAGTCAGGCCTGGGCTCTGGGTAGTGGCATGGGTTACAGGTGCCCATTTGGATCAGGCACGGTGCTCATGGGGCAGGCTCCAGCTGGCAGTGGCCCCAGGGGGGTCAGGCCTAGATTCCAGATCCTGGGGAGCACTTGCCTGGTATTGTGGGGCATGGTGCCCAGGGAGTAGGCTCCAGCTGGCATAGGCTCTGGGGATCAAGCCTGGGGTCTGGGTGATAGCGCTGGGCGGTGGATGAGTTGTCCACACCACGCTGCTTCAAAAACTGCCGAACTACATGACTCAGCAGCAAACAGGAGTCTGGCTCCCTGCTGAAGCAGCTGACCAGGGGCAATTTGTGCCTGTGTCACTGTCTACATGTGCGTTTAAGCACAGTAATGTAATACACCATTAGACAATACTTGTATCTGATCAGGCTATCCAATGGTGTGTTCCATTCATTTAATGTGCCCTAACTGTCATGCATATGTAGACAGTGATGGTTTACTGCACAGTAAAGCACATGTGCAGATGCACCCAATAAGCAGCAGAGGTGGAGTCCAGTTTTAATGGAGAAGCCAAAAGATGCTGCTAATTCAGTAGTGTCTGTGAAAGGGTTAACACTATACTTTTGCCTGAAGCAGCTACTGGGCTGCCTAAGGGCAAGCAAGCTGCCGTATGCAGTTAGCTCTCTCAGCTGTAACTTCCCCCCTCAACTATATTGTACCTTTGAAAAACAAGGCTCATGTCTTATTTGGGGGTATGTAGCATACAGAAAAATAGTGTGCAATTTTCTATTATACCCAGCTAGGAACTACTCACATTCACCGTTTCATATAACTCCTCCATGGATTTTACAAAGTTTTACAAATATTAAATTAAAAGTTTATAAAGTTAAAGATAACTTGAAAGCAGCAGTAAGCACTACCCATAACTAACATATTCATATTAACAATCAACGGATACAGATAATTCATTTGCACCCAAATTTAAGAAGAAAATGTATTTTGTAAATCAACATGTAAAAGTTCTCACCTGGTCGCATTTTCAGTCTTGCACTAAGACTGTTTCAGTATGCTACACCTTTCTTTTTTAAAGTTCAGCATTCTAAATAAAACAAAATTCAGAATATTCTAATTAATGATGTTACTTAAAGAATTAATACTATAAACTTGTGTCATCCTGACATGCCTCTCTTCCCCCCACTTCCTGACCTCAAATCAGGATTCTCATGATCACATCTTTTGTCAAGTGAAAATAATGTTCATTTCAGTGTAATTAGCAACACCAAAAACTACCTTCCAGGGTTGCTAACTCAAATGATTTTATTTCAAGTCTCAAAACACTTGATATTTTACATAAAGACAACACTTCCAGAGAAATGCAGGTACAGAAGCAAAGGCATCGCTATTTCAGCACCCTAGGTAAAGTGGAAGGTTTCATGCAGGGGGAGTTCTGCTGCTGCTGCTAGGTGTGTGTTGAGTCACTGCACTGACTGCAGCAACCAACCTAGGAATGACTTTGTACTGCTTCTGTTGAGGTTGCAGCACAGAAACCTCACACAGCAGCTTCACAACCCCCACAGCACAGGCTTCATGGGGGCCACCATTCTGGTGCCCTCTCTAAATCTGCTCAAAGGGCAGATGGGGTACACCTATTGCCCACCTCTAAGGACACTACTGTACAGTAAAATTCTAGTCTTTTATTTTTAGTTTCTGTTTAGTTTTAGTTTATTTTAAGATTCTGTCCCTCCTTGTTGTGTAGTAAAGCTTGAAAATATGACTCAAGTGAACCTTAAATGCCAACACCACAAGCTAGTTCTTCTACAACAGTGATACTCAACCTGCAGGCCCAGCAGGCCAGAGAAGTGGTGTGGGGCTGGCCGCTGGGCCAGATCCCACAGGCAGGTCCGTCCACAGGCCAGGTCCAGTATGGAATCAGCCTGCTGGTGTGACCCTATGTGCCAGATCCAGCAACCCTACATGCTGGCCCAAACTTGCATGCCAGATTCAACTGCAAAGTGCCTCCACCCCATAAACCAGACGTGACTGCACAGCATCCCCACATGCAAGGCCATGTTGTCCAGCCCCCAGGGGTTCCCATCTGTTTGGAAATTTAGTTGTGAGGGGACAGTGGTGGCATTAATTGCCATAGCTTCCAGAGCAAAAGTAATTAAACCAGAGACTACTGCCTGACTGTCAAATTTTTGGATCCCAAGAGGAGGCCCATAGGCCAGAAGATATGGCCCTAGGGTCTAGAAGATGAGCATCAGTGTTCTACATCACTTTTCACCTACAGATCTCAAGAATACAAAGAAAGTCAATATAAAAAAACAGAAGAAAATTAAAAGAATTTCAAAGTTATAACACGTCAATCTTATGAATTTGGGGATTAACAATATTGAAAAATCAAATGTTAGTTTGAAACACTTGACATTCAATTCAGTTTACATGCTGCAATGAAATGCATACTTCTTACTCTCCAAGAAGAGTGCTATGTGACACAAAATAATTATTTTTTCTTATACTTACTCTGAAGAGAAAGTTTGCACTAACTTTATTATACTGCAGAGTAGAAATTAAACAGAAAAAGAAAGCATGTGCTACTTTAAAAGGCAGATGAGCTGCCAAGCTACTCTCAAAGCTTTATAAATGATGCAATCGAATATATTGTATGAAAAGTAAAATATGTATATGGCATACCTACTCCAGGTAGGTATGCCCTACATGGTTGAAATAACTTTATTAATACACCCCCAAAATCACCCCACAAAACGACCAGCAAATTTATTTAGCTATTATTAGCCATAGACAGACATTTTTTTCCCTTGTGCTGTCTACCAATTAGGCTGATTTCCTCCCTACCACTTTTTCCATCTGATGGACAGCTCCTTCTGCTTGACCAGTGTGCACATCTTCCTGGTGAATATCTTTTTTGAGACAATGAAATGAAAGCGTATTGTGTTAATACTGTTATTTCTATGGGCAGTAGATCAGATTTATGCAACATTTGGCACACATGTTCTTCAATCATCTGTAGAAGAGGTATAAATATAGCTTATTAATCAATAGTAAGAACAAGGATGTTCACCCTGCATAATCTCATTTTAGAATAGGAAGGATTAAAAGGTCAGTAACCAGAGTAACACAATTGAGTCTATAATTTTTTCCTGGGATTAATTTGCTGACTAATTCTTGCGTGTTTTAGAGGTGTTGGTTGTAGCCGTCTTGGTCTAAGAACATAGGCAGACAGGGTTCTTTGGGTAAATGTGGTATCTTTTATTTGACCGACTAAATAGTTGGAACAATTGTTTCTTTGCAAGCTCTCAGGCACAAACACCCTTCTGCAGGCATAGGGGGAGTCGACTTTTTTGTTTTCTCCTGGATAGAATAGAAGCCAATATGCAAAATGCATGTCTGTGAAAATACAAATGCCTGGCAGTGATGATCAGAGGCCATGGGAGACAATAGATGCAAGAGAGGAAGGTGCGGGAGAAAGGGGGAAATGTTGACCTGGTAATAGAATGTAGCTGGTAAATTGTAGAGAAGTTACCTGGGGTTATCAGATGGCAGGCAGGTTAAAACGTGCCATAAATCGAATGTCTATATTTAGTCCATGATTTTTGTATCTGGTAGATTTATGAAGTGAAGTTCATAGGGAAGGTATTTTGTAAATTTCCTTTGAGGATTAGAACTGAGAGACTGGAGAGATAGAGTGGTTGTCTTGTGAGACATGTGCACCCACAGGTAATTGGGTATTTTTGTCTTTGAAAGATTTCCGGTGTGCATTCATTCTGTTGCGCAGTTGTTGTTTGGTTTCTCCTACCTATTTTCCAGCAGGACTTTTAGTGCACTAGATGAGATGTACAGTATTACATTTCTGGAGGCGCAGGTGTAAGATCTAGAAATGGTGATGGGTCCTGTTGTGGGGTGTGTGGCAGGGCACTGTTTGTGCCTGCCACTTTAAAGGGCTGGAGCTGGCAGCTACCAGGTGCCTGATGAGGGCAGCCATTTTGAACCTAGGGCTGCCCATATAAATTTGGCAGTTTTGCTGCTGGAGGCTAGGCAACAACATTGCCTGGCTGGAGATCTGCTAGCATCATCTAGGGGTAAAGGAGGAGCTGTAGGGGATGGTAAGGAAGCTCCTGGTCCTGGGTACAACCTAAAACTGCACCCTGCCAGGAGTGGGTGGCCTGGTGGTGCAGGAGCCCCCCAGGAAATGCCAGGCCAGTTACCACCCCTAGGCCCCACAACCGGGTGGGTTACCCCTTGTTTGGAAGGTAGACCCCTGGAGAGAGAGAAAAGGCCATAGACTCAGGCCTGTCTGAACTTCCCCTGACTGGTCAATACTAGGGCCAGGACTGGAAGGATTGAAAGACTGGGGGCCTGCTGCAAGGGATGCCCAAGAGCTGAGGGCCTGGGGTTTCAATTGGCCTGGAGGTGGGCCAGGGCTAATGAGCGAAAGGTCCCAGAAGGACCACTCCTGAAGTGGGAGCAGTTCAGGCAGCTATGTTGCCTAGTATGAAGGTGGATGAAACCACCTGAGGAGAGGAATCCAGGCAGGGTTCAATTAGGAGGATTCTGGGGCCCAGTGTGGGGCAGGGGGTGATTATAATAATACCTAGATGCCATCTGTGAGGCTTGGGCTGCCGTGTAAGAGAGGAATGGAGCTGCAGATCGTGCCCCCTGGTATCAGGGCAGGAAACTGTCAGCCTCCTGCTTAATTACAACATTAACTAACTAATTCTAACAAGGTGTGGTAGGTGAGAATGTGGGCAGTTAGCCCAGAAACAGGTGGGCAAGCCATGGTTAAATCAGCCCCAAGAAGGCCCCATTACAGGGTGTAGTAATTGTAAAGCCTGCCAACACATCTCCACCACTCTTACATTTCTTGCCCTGGCATTGTCTGGATCCTTTCAGTGCAAACTCAAAGGGGCCACAGGAAGTTTGCTTCTGGTAATAAGGTTGGCAATGTTTGGTGCTTGTTTAAAGGCTAGGATGGGTGGTTCTGGGAAGGTATCTTTAAGAATTGAATCTTCTTCTAGTAGGGGTTGCAATTATTTGAGGATTTTCTGTATAGGTTCCAGGGAGGGTTGATATGTCATAACTAAAAGTGTGCAATTCATAGGGATTTTCTCTTTGAACTTCAACAGTTCTTCATGTGGTATCCAGGTGGCTCTTTCAAAAATGTGATTTTCTCTCTGGAGGAGCATCCTTGTTAAGTGGAAGCCCTTTCTGAGACTTGTGAGGCAACGATTGCAGGTGTCCTCCTCAGTCCAGATTCCCTAGTATCAAAGGGTTTGGCTGTATAGTACAGCTTTCTTGATGCATTTAGGGCGATTGTTGGTTCTATGAGACTATGTATGTTGGTCCATGGATTTCTTGGTCTGATCCTCACTGCCATGTATTTTTGCTCTTTCACAGACCTGCATTTTTGCATATTAGCTTCTATTCCATCCAGGAAAACACAAAACAACAGCAGACCCTCTCCCTATGCCTGGAGAAGGGTGTTTGTGCCCAAAAGCTTGCGAAGAACAATGTTTTCAATGATTTAGTTGGTCTAATAAAAGATATACAAAGAACCTTGTCTACCTAATTCTAACTTTTTTTTTTTTTTTTTATCTTGACAACATTATTTCCCTTGACCAGTGCTAATAATGTTGGAAAACTGCTTCCTATTAAAGAAACATTTAAAAAAAAACAAAAAACAACAACAACAATCAGCCTGCGGAAAAGAAGGGGACCTGGTAGTAGCTTGCCGCTACACTAGGGGAGTACATCAAGCACTCAGTGAGCAACTGTTCACCAGGGCAGCCAAGAGGAAAATCAGGAGTAATGGCCACAAACTTCTGGAAGATTGATTCAGGCTCAAGATTAGGAAAAAAATTCTTCAGGTGGGGTGTCCAGACTACAGAATAAGCTCCCTCCAGAGGCAGTGCAATCACCTACCCTAGAAATCTTCAAGAGGAGACTGAACAGTCACCTTGCAGGGGTCACCTGATTCCCCAGTTATCTTTCCTGCTTGGTGCAGGTGTCTAGACCTGATGATCTTCTGAGGTCACTTTCAGCCTTACAGTCTATGAATCTTTCAGAATATATTTATATTCCTAACAGCTAGTAATAAAAAGAAAACAGTAGTCTGCATCCAGAGAGTCTAACAGCTTATTGTATATCTTCCTGCCTAGTTTCTCTTCCATTTTCTTTCCCAATATCCAATCTATCCTGTTTTTAAAAAGTAGTTTTCCAACCTATGTTCAAATCAAATCTTCAGAATGGCAGCCCCAAGTCAGCTACTGTTGTTTGTATAAATATATACTGAAGCAACAGTACACTTCTTACTCTAAAGTAAAAGAAGTTACACTTTTTACTATGAAGATCTCAAGTGTTTTACAGACTATACAGTGTGTGATGAAGTGAAAACATACATATTATAAAATTCTATTCAACAGAAAACTTAGAAACCATTATCCAATTTGGGTCATGAGAGAATTTAGTTGGTAGGATGCAGTTACCCAATTCAAACTGATCAAATTGCATAAGCCCTGTTTAGAAGAAAAAAATCAAGTCTTTCACGCTCAAAAATGTTGTTATACCTTAAGACAGCCCAATGCCTCCTCCTAACACTGTATTAAGACACCAAGCTAGTACCAACTCAAAAGGATCTCACTGCGCTACGGACCTGGACACAGTCACTTGCAACAGCTGCAAATCACTGGACTGCAATTATTGAAGACACTACATGGAGTTATTAAAGCGCTCACTGGACGTGAGCTTAACTGTGCTAAACCACAATGCAGTTTTTAGTCAGCCCCTGTCAAGAGATGCCCCTTGCCACTCTGGCGCCCTAGGAGGGTGCTGAACAAGCTACAAGGTACTTAAAGAGGGCACCCGCTCCCGCTGGAACTGCACTCAGCAAACGTGAAGGTTGACTGTGGGACACTGCAACCAGACATGCTCCAAAGCCAGACCGCAAGACCCCAGCAGGGTAGCGGGGACTGCAGGTGGACCCAGAGCAGGTGGTGATTCCACTCAGCCCTGAGGGGCAGCTCACTCAAAACAAGGAGTACTCACTAGCCCCTTCCCCTCAAAGAACCCCGGCACCCTCTTCATAGAGCTCCCACGAGGAGCCCTGGCACGTGGGTGCCCCGCGCATGCGCGGCGGGCGCTGGGGATGGAGGGAACGAACCCCCTGGGAACCGCGCATGACGTCATCCGCCGGGAGCAGCTGAACCCCGCCCCGCCCCCTCGGAGCAGACCACAAGCCTCGGGGGCGGGGGAGGCAACGGTGGGGCTTGAGAACGTGAGGCCAAGGTGGTACCGCCGAAGCCCCCCTCGCCACGGCCCGCGCTCGGATCCCTCCTCCCCACCCCCACCCCGGCTGCTGGGGATGGGGCCTCACGTCGCAGGCGGAACCCCACTCACGTTGGCCGAAGCTAGCGCGTCTCCTCTGGCGGCAGCGCCGCTGCTTCCCGCAGTTTCCCTCTTTCCTCACTTGGTCTCTCTCCCCCCTCCCCCCCCCGGCTGCTCACGATAGTTCCGCCGAAAACAACAGCGGCTGCCAAGGAAACGGCTCTCGGTGCATTGCGCATGCGCCCAGTGGAGGCGGGGCTTAGGGGACAAAGCGGTAGTCCAGCATCACTCCGGGCTTCCACGTCTGCGGCGGTGGAGGGCATGCGCCGTGGGAGGAGGGAAAGGCTGCAGCGCGCACGCGCCGGCAGGGATCTCACTTATGGAGCCCAGCGGGGGCCTGTCCGAAGTAGGGCTGTCCCCAGTTATAACATCCCATCATAGGCTTTGTGTAGTCAGGTCCTAGAAACCTCCCAGGATGGACCAGGATGCCACAACCTCTCTGGGTGGTCTGTTCCAGGGCTTCACTGCCCTTGTGGTAAAGTGTTTCCTCATATCTAGACTGAACTTCACAGATTCACAGAAGCTGAGGGCTGGAAGGGACCTTGGAAGATCACTGGGTCCAGCCTCCCCTCAGGCAGGAAAGACGGGTGGGGTTAACTAACTCCATCAAGGTGTGCGTCCAGCCTCCTTTTGAAGATCTTCGGGGCAGGTGCCTGCACCAACCCCCAGGAGACTATTGCAGAGTCCGGTTACACAAACCCCAAAGAAGTTTTTCCTTGTACCCAGTCTGAAACCTAGGAGTTGATGACCATTGATCGTGGCTTTCCCCTGGGGCACTGGGTTCGCCTAGCCCCTGATGCTCACCCAGATATGTTTGTAAGCTGCCGCCAAATTCCCCCAAAGTCTTCTCTATTATAGGCTGAAACCTGTCAGCCTTTCCTCATAACGCTTGTTCTTCAGACCTCTAATCATACGAGTGGCTCTTCTCTGGACTCTCTCAAGCTTCTCCACATTCTTCTTGAACTTCCCCTGCTGCAACTGGAAACCATTGCTCCTTGTCTTCAAGCCTCTCTCAGAGGTGCTGGGTGTTGGCTACAGCCAGGGATGGGGAGTCCCAATGCTGGAAGTAAAGCTGCAGGTTCCTAGCTAGAGGGTCTTCTTTCCCTCTGCTCAGGGTCAGACTGATTGCCAGATTAGGGGTCAGGAAGGGATTTTACCCCATGGTCACACTGGTGAGGGCTGCATGGGTTTTTGCCTTTCTCTGTAGCCAGAGGCATGGCTGCATTCCCAAGATCTCTTGAGTGCATATTAACAACATTTTACAGAAACCAGACATTGGCTGCTGTGGTTCCCCTGCTTTACTTGTGGCAAGTGAAGATGTTAGGTCTGATGTGTCAGAGTTTAGATGAGGGATTTGTATGGGATGGTTTGGACAGGGGTGATTCTGCCTCAGGGCTGGATGAGATGACCTCTGGAGGTCCCTTCCAGCCCATCTTCTTTGACTGATTTCTATGATCAGGAGGGGAACAGAAGGCAGTTCAGGCAGGGTACAGAGCAGCAGATGGGGCAGGGAGCAAGAAGCAAAACAGCAAATGGGGCAGGGGTACCAGGAAGCAGAGTGGCAGATTGGGAAGTGCACTAGGGGAGAGTAGGAGCTGATGTTGACCTCCCCACTGACTTAAGGTGGTGCTGTCTTTGCAATGGGTGACAGGCTGGTACAATCCCTGTTGCCTTGACTCTCAGGTTTTAGTTTCTAAACCAGCAGGAGAACATTTCAAGAATTTTTCTGCTCTCTGATTTTTGCTCAAAGAAGTCATTTTTAAAAAAAGTTCATTGATGATTCTTTTTCTACTAAACCATTTCAGCATGCTGTCTGGATTTGTAGGCAATTAACTATGAATATTCATTTTTGTTAAAAGAATTAAATCCATGGGTGAAATTAGTGGCCAAACTCCTTGATTTTAGCGTGGTCATGATTTCGTTGAGCACAGGGTTTCACCTTTTGTCTATATTGTAAACTGCAGCACTAGTAGTCAAAGCCAATTAACTCAGTTAACTTATCCTCCAAGTGACTGATGGTTCAGTCTAAATGCTATTTCTTCAGTTGCAAATCATCCCTTTTTATAGTCATATCAAGAAAGAGCCATGCAATAAATTCCTTGACTGACTGCAATCGTAGTAATTTTCTAGAACAATGGAAGCCAACCTTTTTGGCAGGCATGCCACAAATTAGCCCTGCATCCTCCCCAAGTTGCCATTCTGATTTCCTTCCTCTATCTGATCCGTTGCTTTCTGCCCAGTCTGCCACTGTGCTGCCTGTCTCCATCCCCCTGCCAGTCTGCCCCATGCTGCACATAGAGACTGCAAACTTGTGGCACATGTGCCGTAGGTTGCCTCCCCCCACCCCGTGTTCTGCACCATTGAAGACCCTTCCAGTCCTAGTAGCCTAAAATAATCTGTGGCTCCATGGAAGCCAGGGAATTTAGCTCTCCAAATGCCCAATTAATGGAAACATGTTCTTTCTGTTGACTGGGGCTATGCAAATTATCTAATTAACTCACCCAGCAAATGAAAGTGGTGGAGGAGCCTACTCTTACCAAGTTTAAACCTATGGCCTTGCACTAACTTGGTGACAAAGGGACTTGGACAAATTCAACAGACTCCTT